TTTGATGTTTATCTGCTTACCCCCAGGGCATCCAAGATGTAGGTGACTTTGTTTCTTCAGTAGAACACATATGATGATTTTTAACTCAAACCGTTGCAGTCTGTCAGTCTTATAATGGAACAAACAAAACCAAATTAAACTCTGCGGCGTGTGACGACACATTGATGTGTAAAGACACTAAACGATCGGTCTGTGCAAGAAACTGAACAGTATTTATATCGTTTTTTACCTCTGATTTTCACCGCAATTTCCAAACTGTCCGAACTGTCCTGCGTGCGTCCTGAGCGCGTTCTCAACAGCCGGCGCCTGACTTCTTCTTCTTCTTGCTTTACGGTGGATTGCAGTTCAGTTCAGACAGTTTGGACATTGCAGTGAAAATCAGAGGTAAAAAACGATATAAATACTGTTCAGTTTCTTGCACAAACCGTTGCAGTCTGTCAGTCATATAATGGAAGTGAATGGGAATCACGGCTTTGAGAGTCAAAAAAACACACACAAACAAAACCAAATTAAACCCTGTGGCTCGTGACGATACATACATCTATCTACAATCTCAATTAGGAGTGTCAAGTGGCAAGTGGCAAGTGACAAGTGACGTGACATGTGGCCAAGTTGACCCATACTCACATTGCAGTGCATCAGAGGAGAGGTAAAAAACGATATAAATACTGTTCAGTTTCTTGCACTGACCGATCGTTTCATGTCTTTACACATCAATGTATCGTCACACGCTGCAGGGTTTAATTTGGTTTTGTTTGTGTGTGTTTTTTTGACTCTCAAAGCCGTGATTCCCATTCACCTCCATTATAAGACTGACAGACTGCAACGGTTTGTGTTAAAAATCTTCGTTTGTGTTCTACTGAAGAAACAAAGTCACCTACATCTTGGATGCCCTGGGGGTAAGCAGATAAACATCAAATTTTCATTTTTGGGTGAACTATCCCTTTAAAGAGTGTGGCAGAGCAATGAAAGAAATATATAATTTGTTCATGTAAAAAAATACATAATAAATGGTATTTAGTGTTAGTATGAACCCTACCTTTATTATACCATTTAATTTTATCATTTGAATGTTCATGTGGCTAAGGTTTTCCGATTGAAATAAAGAACAGAAATGAACAGAAAATAATATGGTTTTGTGGTCTTAATATTTATTTAAATCAATTCTTTTTTGTATTTTTATAGAAATATCTAAAAAACAACACTGTGTTGTTCTATAAAATTCCTCTTCCTCACCCAAACTTTTACTCTTTTCTCGAAACATTTCTCTAAAATGATTCAGTGTGGGGCAGCTTTCGATGGGAAATACAAATTGTACTCACTAATTTGAGTGTGATGAGTAGTTGGCCATAACAGAACACGATGGTGCCGAAAGGAACCGCAAAGCAGAAGCTGAACAAAAATATGACGTAGGATTCGTTGTTGTATTTGTTGTTAGTGGTATACCAGTCAGGTCCACAGGAGCACTGCAAACCTTCAGGTTCTTCAGTAGAACACAAACGAAGATTTTTAACTCAAACCGTTGCAGTCTGTCAGTCATTTTAGTGTCAGGGTTTAATTTGGTTTTGTTTGTGTATGTTTTTTTTGACTCTCAAAGCCGTGATTCCCATTCACCTCCATTATAAGACGGACAGACTGCAACGGTTTGTGTTAAAAATCTTCGTTTGTGTTCTACTGAAGAAACAAAGTCACCTACATCCTGGATGCCCTGGGGGTAAGCAGATAAACATCACATTTTCATTTTGGGGTGAACTATCCCTTTAATTAGATTTCGTGATCATGCTGATCCACTTCCTGTTGCAATTTTAAGGCCATTAATAAAAGAAGTACGCAGTGTGGTAACCTCGAAATCACTTTACTTGCTCTATAGAGCTGCAGTTACAGTTGCATTACTTAAAAACTGCAGATGCAGGATGTGTGAAAAAGGCTTTGGAAATGACTGTCACAAGTTGATTTCAGAGCAAACAAAAGATCAATAACTCACTGCTGTTACATCCGTCCATACTCCACTGACTCCTGTCTCTCCTCAGTCTGCTGTGCTCCACCGCCTGAGGGTTTAATTTGGTTTTGTTTGTGTGTGTTTTTTTGACTCTCAAAGCCGTGATTCCCATTCACCTCCATTATAAGACTGACAGACTGCAACGGTTTGTGTTAAAAATCTTCGTTTGTGTTCTACTGAAGAAACAAAGTCACCTACATCCTGGATGCCCTGGGGGTAAGCAGATAAACATCACATTTTCATTTTGGGGTGAACTATCCCTTTAATTAGATTTCGTGATCATGCTGATCCACTTCCTGTTGCAATTTTAAGGCCATTAATAAAAGAAGTACGCAGTGTGGTAACCTCGAAATCACTTTACTTGCTCTATAGAGCTGCAGTTACAGTTGCATTACTTAAAAACTGCAGATGCAGGATGTGTGAAAAAGGCTTTGGAAATGACTGTCACAAGTTGATTTCAGAGCAAACAAAAGATCAATAACTCACTGCTGTTACATCCGTCCATACTCCACTGTCTCCTGTCTCTCCTCAGTCTGCTGTGCTCCACTGCCTGAGCGATGGCCTCGTTCAGCTGCTGCTCAGAAACCTTCAAACACATGCAAGTTTAGATTTTAGCACTCTCTGACAACTTAGATCTAGCTATGAAGACAAAAGTGTAGGTTTGACTGATCACAGCCATAATGAAGTGTAAATTGTTTTAGCACAGTTTGTGTGAATGTGTGGCTTAGTAAATCAGGCCCGTGATGCTCTCTTGTACGTCTGAAAGGAAAGCAGACCTACTTTTGGGTCGGGGTGTCGACTGATGATGATCTGAACCGGTCCCGGGCTGCACTGACTCAGAACCGTGTACACATCGTTCAGCGTCATGTTGCAAACCACCGTGTCATTGATCTCCATGATCTCATCGCCACATCTGACAAACATTCACATACGACTTACTAACATCCCAGCAACCGCACACATTATTATTACAACATTTCACAGTGCTGCAGTTTGGTTAGTTGTAAAAACCTTCTAGAAACCACACTTAGGAACATAAAAGATGTTGCCATTTATAACATGATGTGCGGTTTATATATTATGGTTACCAAAAATGAACAGTACCCAACTTCAACTTTGGGAAAAGCTACATTTTCAGCTTAATACGTCTACCTTGAAGTAGCATCAAAACATCAATTTAAATAGTTTTTGCTTTAATAAAACCAGACCACATTACTTAGTTAAAATGAGCTAATAACATATTTCTTGAACAATTTGCCACAACTTAACATCCAATCCATTTATATTGTAAAATTTAAGTTAACAATCATTTTGCGTTGAGTCTACATGAATCGTTTTTGTTGTGGGCAGTGGATCTGTAGTTCCCAGCAAGCTTTGCATTGGCATAATTGTTGTAGGCATGCTCACATGCTTATCTAACAGGAACTTAAATCTATTAAATTGGTTCAAGAAAACATTTTTATCATGTTTTACGGGTATAAACTAAATGCATGGATTTTCCTTAATTTAGCAGTATAGTGAAAAAAAATGGTGCAGAAACGGCAAGTAACACATCAGATTAAACAGTAGAAAAAATGAAAGTATTTTCTTGTAAAACATACTCCAATAATCTTTGTTTTATTTATAAAAAAATATTTATAAACTAATATTTAAGTATAGGCCTAATATTTTTGTTAACTACAGGTAGGTGGTTTATTATTATTGTTATTATTATTATTTCCACGAATCATATACTGACTATGACCATTTAAATTTAGACTGGCTAACTAATTATGAAAAAATGTACAAAAGCCAACACTAGGGACTCATATCTATGTCTCTTATTGGCAACACTTTTAAAGATGTGTCAGACCTTAATCGTCCATCCATGTGGGCCACTGATCCTGGTGACAGCGTGTGAATGTAGATTCCTGGACAGCCGCCAGCAGAAGGTACACAGCACAGGCCAATACCTAAACCTACACCAAACTCTGAGCCGATGCAGAAAGCACACATTTAGAAATACTCACATGTTCACTTTCTTCTCAGATGTTTGTAGTCGTAATCTGTTACAATAACATACGATTTTAGCAGGGCTGTAAAGCAATTAGAAATGGCCAAACTGTCCCCTTCAATACTTAATATTTGACAAAAAATTGACAAGTCACATGTTTAGGCTCACCTGCCATTCGTCAATGTCAAAATGACTGAGATGGCCAATCAAATCAAAGAAGACGGGGCTTTACTTTTCACAGAAACCGAGCGGCGCGAGTGCGAGGTAAGAAGCTAAACATGTAATATCTGACAATTATTTTATAATAAAAAATGTCAAATGACTAACAGTAATATCCAGTGATGCAAACTACTTTTTTGTAGACCGTTTTGTTGCTTTGTTTTATTGTTTTGTGTTGTGTTGTGTTGTTTTGTTTTGTTGTTTTGTTGTTTTGTCAAATTTGGCCATTTGGAATTGAAAATATAGGCTGTCATTTCCGTGATCCATTTAATTCATAAAGGAATGCGACGAGGGAAGAAGCATTTTTCTGTTTTGCTTTTTCAACACATTAGGCATACAAATAAGAATGAATGGGTGAATATAGGCTAAGATAAAAAATATTAGCAAACAGTTCAAACAGTAATAATAAGCCTACTTTACAAAAAAAAAATCTTATTATTGTCCTTTTAATGTTCTTCTTTCTTTTTCTTTATTCCCCTAAATCCATTTAAATCCTTGATTTATTTAATTATTGAGATAAAAATAAAGACCTTGAAATAAAGACCATTCCCCGTGGGGTCTGGTCTTTATTTATATTTTACGTCCTAAAACATAGTTCCACCCCAATGTTCTACATGTTTACAATCTTGAAGTTTAGAGATGGCATTCGAAAACTGTATATTTACTACATGTCTGTTCTTGAAATAAAGGCACAAAGCTATTGCACAGCTTCAAAATTTAACACACAAGGGACTATTTTTATACTGCTTTTATTATGTTTTTTGTCCTTTTGAAGTTTGACAGAGCAATTTACTTTTTTTTCTTTCAAAACATCCCACATATCTCCCTTTTTTCCATTGTAGGAGAGAAAATAAAAAAACATGATGACAGAACTTTCATTGGTGAACTATGGCTTTAAGACAAAATTAAAGTATAGATGAGACAACGTCCTTACTGCCAGGTAAGTATTTTTATGAATTTATGCTGTTGTGCAGCTACACAAATAAGACACCGTTTGGCTCTGAAGATGTTTATGCGCAAGGCTCAGACTGAACATGTTTGTGTGAAACTTCAGCAACAGCCGGCTGAAGCTCATCACAATGTTTATCACACCCAAGACAGTGTTCAGTTTTGATAGGGTGTGTTGTGCGTATGTTTCTGAGCCTTCTGCATTAACACAGTTAACCAACAATTGCAATGCAGTTTTTTAAACCAGTCAGAAATGTGTAATTAGAAATGCAGGGATAGTCCATCCATAAATAAAATGTCTGTTATTTACTCTCCCTCATGTCATTCAAACATGTATGATTTTCTTTCTACTGTGAAACACAAAACAAGCAATTCTGAAGCAATTCAAGTCATTTTTACTGTGCAATTATAAGCTTCAAAAAGCATGATAAATCATCATTACAATATCATAAAATTAGTCCATACAACTTTTGCATTATATATACAGTATATAGCTTTGCATGAGAGAAAAAATGAAATTGCATTAAATTTTAATCTTATTAATTGCCTGGTAGATCAATCAAAATCTTTTACTGCGTTTGAAGTGTGTATGTGACGAAACTGTGATCGATGAGATTTGGATACTCACCCTTCTGCAGCGTGATCTCCATCATGACTCTGTCCTGAGCTTTTGCAGGGTTATTGAGGCAGTTATAATCTCCCAGATCAGCACTGACTCGACTGATACTGGTGCTGGAGCTCAGAGATCTGGATCGGCATAACTGAGACACCTGGCCATGGCTGCCTGGCACAGCGCCCATCCGCAGACTGGTCCTCACCACCAGCGTTAACAAACCCTTCTTCACTTGCTTCAGAAAGACAATCACAGTTTATAGCTGGTAAAACCTGATAGATTAATGATAGATCGACATATTGTCTAGGTGGATTAATCAGCTGATATTTGGTCATTTTTTTGACTTTTTTTTATTTTTTTTATATTTTTTAAATATTGTATTAAATAAATGTTTATTTAATATATATATATATAGAGTGAGAGAGAGAGAGAGAGAGAAAGAGAGATACTGATTAAAATAATTATATGCATTTGTAAAATGAGAAATTTTGCTGGGCAAATTGTGATCAGCACAATATTCTTGAGCTTGTTTGTAACATTAACTATATCTGTGATGCAATCTACATTTTAATTTCAATATTTAATTGTATAGAAATCTATAATTTTATAACAATTTTATCATTAAATGTAATTATTTTAATTTTATATGTTTAAATTTATATTTACAGCAAAAATAAGTATATTGTGTGGTATATACACTACTGTGATAAAAATTACTTAAGCCGTGATATATAATTTTGAACATACCAGTGTTGTTATTGAAAAAAAAAATATATATATAATAATAAAATATATATTTTTTAATTATTAATTGATATAATGCTGAAATAAAATATACATATTAGATGAAAAAAATATATACATATTGTATTTTAATTTTTAAAAATAAATATAAGGTGACATATATTTTTCACTTCCAGTTAACCATATTACTGTGGCATTTTCATTTAGTTACTGTTAGCAATGAGCCCTTAAAAAAACCTTTGTCAGTCTACCAATATGCATTATGTGTTTCTTCATTACGTGTGCCAGTTCATTAATTGCAGGTCAACTTTGAAACATGAAGCCATCCAGGTGAGGTTACTCACTTTAAACTTGTGTAAGGCATCTTCATGGGTCAGGCCGTGCAGAGATTCACCATTCAATTCCAGTATCTCGTCTCCTGTAAACCAGAAACACTAATATAGTTTTCTATCCATTTCTGGGTAATGCAGCTGTGAGTGTTGATGGGAAAGCTTCATTTTGAAGTAAGTGTCTGGATAGATCTGGATGCATTACCAATTACAGTGTGATATTTAACTAATGAGCCTACCTTCCTGTAGTCTTCCATCAGCGGCCGCTGCGCCTCCAGGAAAAATGGTCTTCACGTAAATCCCCATTGGGCCGTACATGCTGTCTCTTCCTCCTACTATACTGAATCCCAGGCCCTGGAATACCAGGACAGCGGTTTATATGTTGAGAATTCAATGCGTTGTATTATTTGTTGCAGATACACATTTGGATACCTTTCCATGGCCCTTCATGAGGACAATGTTGGAGATGATGAAGGCCTGCACAGTGCTGCAGGACGGGACCAAGTGTGCTGAACTTAGAGAGCGAGACGGTCTAACCACAGCCTGCAGAGACCAAAAAGAGCACAAATAATGTGGCAAGCAGGTCAAAGACCTACGTTCAGGGTCAAAAAGGACAATATGAGATGTTTTCATTTCATGAAATTCTGCTACCCAGAGCAGTTACATGTGCCATTCCCATGACATTCATTAAAAACAGCCACTCCACTGATGTGGAGAGGGAAAGCACTTTGTAGAGAGCACTTCTAGAGAAGGAGAGATGCTTTGAGCACTTACTGCAACAGCCATTTATTTGATTACCAGTATAATGATGGCCTTATCAAATAAAGTGCAACAGCCAGTCACTGCCATTGTCTCATCCAGAACTGTTCAGGCAAAACACGTTCTGAACTTAGAAACTAAACAGCTGCACCATTGATTTATTTCAGTGTAAACACCCATGACTTATTCACTAACCATCCACAAGCATAATCAGGCACTTTGATATAATAAAACTCATTGTCATTCTTTTAGCAGTAAAGTCAGATTGCATCCTCCATAACTTCACACTCACCATCGGCCTACAAGATGGGGAATTATGCTAGACAAATAGTGATAAGCACATTTTTAAAGCTTGTTTGAACAATTAATTGACTTGCATTATTTGTTGTATACTGTGCAATAAAAATGTTGAGATTTTGCAACCTATGGTATATCTGTGATCTGTAAAAATTAATCATTTAATCATTTAAAATTTGAAAAACTAAATGTAATCATAAAATGCAATTATTTTAATTTTATACTTATATACTTATATTTACAGCTATATATATATATATATATATATATATATATATATATATTGTGTGTGTGTAATGTTATTATGATATAACATTACTTATGCCATGATATATCATTTTGACCATACAGGTATTGTTAACTAAACCTAAAATAATTTTTTTTAAATTGTTAATCGATATATAGCTGAAATAAAATAAAATGTGAATATGTAAACAAAAAAAAAATGTTCATTTCGCAGATAACTTTGGAAATAAAATACATTTGTGTTGAAGTACTAAAATTACAATAACTAAAACAAAAAAAAGGCTAATAAAAATGACAAAAACACTTTACTAAAAAATTACTAAACCTTAAATTCAAAATTACAATGAAAATTTAAAATATATAAGTAAAAGCTCATTTAGATTATTAATCAATAGTAGCTATAGGCCTATTAATAATACTAAAATAACAGTGGGCTACACGTTATAGTGATAGACCATGACAATTTCAGAATGGTCAATTTTTGCAGCTTAGTTTCAATAAATGGTGTGAGCAGACATGGAAGAGAGCTTTATATTATAAACATTAAGTATGTTTATTTGTACCAGACTTTTATTTTAAAATAACAAGGAAAATCCTAGCTAGGATACAAAACAAATTCAGTTTGCGATTCACTTACAGTCATGACCATATTTGATTTTACATTTCTCTCACTTAAATCTTATAAGACTTCACGCAAGGCTGTTCACGCAGAATGCATTTTTCCATTCCAGTGCACTACTTTTGCATTGTTTTCTATGTAAACGCACTAGACAGACGTGCGGTGCAGTGCTCAAATTAAAATAAGTTTTAAAAAACACATCTCGAGAACTTGCGTTTTTTCCCCATTCCACTGGCCAATGCAGCACAAAATGCATTCTGAAAAACAGTTAACAGTAGCCATTGACTTCCATAGTATGGAAAAAATACTATGGAAGTCAATGGCTACCATCAACTGTTTAGTTACCAACATTCTTCAACCCCTTAACTGTCACCGTCCCGCCACCGGGATGCCTAAGTTTACTTCAATATCTTATGATTAAATCCTAATCTAATCATGACAAACTATATATTGTTGGAAAGGTCTAAGACCCTTAAATCGATATTTTACCACTGTTTGTTGTTTAACATGATGTAGGAACAGTAATAGATTAATTTATGTGATTTAATAGTGCACCTCAAAACATATACATCATGACAGGAGTTCTGACCTTTGTCACAAAAATTCTTTTTTGTGAAAATTTTTCGTGGAAATGGTACTTTAAAATCTTTTAGTGGGCTCCTCCCCCTTAGTGGGGGTGTCGTATTACAAAATGAATTACGTCTTTTAGAATCAAAACTTTTTATAATATTGACAATATACATATCGTTGGAAAGGTCTGCGTCTCACAATTCCATATTTATGGTTATTTTGTGACAGAAATAATATTGAGAGAGAAATTTATACATTTGTGACAGAAAAATGCATTAAAAAAAAATTCAGTGGAGTTTATGGCACCCGGTGGCTATTTGTGGTATAACGTCTAAATAAAATTGCATAGGAACCTCAATTTGTTTTATATCAACTTCAAATTTGGAACTCCTTTTTGTGATGTCAAACCTGTGATACACTCTTATATTAATGACTTTGTGGCAGATGGAATCGGATAAACATAATGAAAATAAGTTATATGAAACAAATCCTACTGTAAGATTTTTTTTATTTTTTTTTACTTATTTTAAATCTAGGTATGACCAAGTTGGTTTTACAAGGTGTCTTTTAGGTCATACAAGATTTACACATGGATATTTATTAAAAGGTGAAGAACCACCATCATGCCTGACTTGCTAAACTAAAATGACTGTGAAGCATATTTTATTGGATTGTACTGTTTTTAATGTAAATAGACAACTGTTTTATTCAGAGGTGTGTCTAACTGATTTATTTAAAAATGTATCACCTGGATGTATTTTTGTCTAGTGTACATCTGAAATGTCTTTTATAACCTTTTGTTATAATAATAATAATAATAATAATACATTTTATTTGTAATGCACCTTTCTTAATACTCAAAGCACTAATATCAAAAATAAAATCATAGTAATAGTCATACATTAAAAGCTTCAGTAAAAAGCTGACAGTCCGTGTAACAATGATAGCCCAGGCCGTACTTCTGAATAATCTGCCCAAGAGGCAGCATGTAAATACTAAATAGAACAGGTCCCAAAACTGACCCCTGGGGGACACCCTGACACAAAGGCGCAGTCTGAGATATCAGTCTAGTACCCAGGCAAACAAACTGAGAATGTTCTGAAAGATAAGATTTAAACCAGTTCAACACAGTTCCAGATAGACCAATCCATCTATGTAGTCTGTCCAGTAATATGCTATGACATATCGTATCGAATGCAGCACTAAGATCTAACAGAACCAAAATTCCACAAGCCCCAGAATCAGCTATAACGAGAAGGTCATTCAAGACCCTAACTAAAGCAGTCTCCGTCCTATGTCCAGACCTAAACCCAGATTGAAAAGTGTCTAAGTGGTGACAGTTAAGAGGTTAGAATATCTTCTTTTGTGCTCAACAGAAGAAAGAAACTCATACAGGTTTGGAACAACTTGAGGGTGAGTAAACAATAATGACCGAATTTTCATTTTTGGGTGAACTATCCCTTTAATGTGACCCAAACAGTCCAGATTCTGTGCCTCTCCCGCCCTCACCTGTGGAATGCTGTGAGGGAATTCCAGCTGCTGAGAGAGAGACTTCCTGTTGCCGTAAAAGCCTGCGGTGGCGTGGGCGGGACACAGGAACAGCTCTGGCGTCTTCATAATGATGGTATCCAAGTCTCCGATCCAGTATGGGTGAACGCCTAAAACCATGTGGACATGTGGAGTTACATAAGACGTGCTCTCGATGTTGGACGATGTGAACAGCATGTGAGTACAACATCATATGTTTATGTTCAGGAGCACAAAAACATGTTCACATCTCCTGTTGGATATTCTCAAGAGTTTATGAAGTTGTGTAATAAAAAAAGGCCGCTCTTCTTCAGTGCAGTGTTGCATGTGTGTGGTCAGCGCTTGAACTGGGATTAGCACAGTTGAGTTATACTGTAAACAAATACTGAGAGATGGATTGGGATAGTGCTATGACTCTCGTGTTCATGCAGGTTTGTCTCACTGGTGGAGTTGAAGCGAGATCTCTTGCAGGACGTCTCTTGGCAGCTCTGATCCTCGTTGTCGCAGTTCTTGCTGTCATCGTCTGACACCTTAATAACTGGCATCTGCAAACATACACATGGTATATTAGGATGCTAGAAGAAATAGTATTCTAGAAATCATTTAGAAATAGGGCTGGGTGGTATGACAAATACAGTAGATATGTGTCGACTGAAAGAGATTGTACTGTATTCTTTATTTCAGTGTGTATATCAGTGGACATGGCGGCAAAATGTTATGGAGCAAAAAAACAGATTTCTTGAGCAGCAAATCAGCATATTAGAATGATTTCTGAAGGATCATGTGACACTGAAGACTGGAGTAATGATGCTGAAAATTCAGCTTTGAAATCACAGGGATAAATAACATTTTAAATTGTATCCAAATAGAAAGGAGATTTTTTAAATTGTAATAATATTATATAATATTACTGTTTTTACTGTACCTTTGTTCAAAGAATTGCAGCTTTGGTGAGCATAAGAGACTTCAAAACCATTAAAAAAATGATAATAATAATAATTAAAAAATAAAAAATAAGATATAAATAAGGCAGAAACTGGCATCCATATATCCATTTCAGTCATACTACCCACCCCTCTTTGGAAACACAACATATGACCCTAATTAAGCTAAAGATCACAAAGACCACTTTGAAAATGAGGATTTTCCAGCTGAAGGGAAAAACAGAGTATGCTCCCCACCTTCAAGTTATTGTTGTTTCCCATTGCCTCCTTTTCTCCATAAGTGTAGCCAAGCTGGTCTGATTCATTGATATTAGCGAACAGAGCTCTGCTTTCACATGGAGAGAAACCCTGCAGTACACAAACAACAGATAAACATGCTACGATTCTCCTGAAAATCTGAATGGGTCGTACCAAAAAAAACCTGTACCATTCTGTACTATTCTGTGTCTCTTTTTCCATCCTGAATTAAATTAGTTTCTGCTGCATCTGGGATCTGCTCAATGTCTTGAATGGATTCTGTGTTGGTTAAGGTCTGTTTAATCACATTTGACTTGTGTGTTATAGATCTGCTCAAAGAGAGGTCGAACCAAGTATGCTTAGCTGGTTATGTGCGGTTTGCTAAGGTAAGCTTCACTATTACTAAACCCATAACCCATGAGTATTAAACTTTGGTTGTAACTTGTCTCACACCAACGATTCTCCTGAAAATCTGAATGGGTCGTACCAAAAAAAACCTGTACCATTCTGTACTATTCTGTGTCTCTTTTTCCATCCTGAATTAAATTAGTTTCTGCTGCATCTGGGATCTGCTCAATGTCTTGAATGGATTCTGTGTTGGTTAAGGTCTGTTTAATCACATTTGACTTGTGTGTTATAGATCTGCTCAAAGAGAGGTCGAACCAAGTATGCTTAGCTGGTTATGTGCTGTTTGCTAAGGTAAGCATCCCTATTACTATTTTTTATACTTTAGGTCAGTGATTTGAAGAAACCATAATTGATTATAACTTGTCTCACACCATTTGCGCAACAGATTATACCTCAAATCATGTTGCTTTTGGAAGAGAAGTGTATTTTTATTTTTATAAGTGATCAGACATACAATTTTGTTTACATTGAAAAAGGATCCAAACCATATCTAGTAAATTAACACTGGGCTCTTTTGACTTACGCCAGGAAATACCCACCTAGTAACCATATATTTTAAATATATGTTGTAAACAGTGAAGCTCAATAAAATATATTTTTATATTTAAAAAAAATAAATGTAGTTTTAACCTTCATATACCAAAATAGACTTCAAAATGTATTTCAAGGGCAAGAAAATACATTTCCGATCTTAAAGTAGCCTACATTTAGGCTAAATGCATATATATATATATATTGTAAGCTATGTTATACTGTATGTTTACACGAGTTATAGACAGCTAAGTTTTTCTTCAAATGTGAGATGTATTTTTTTTTTTGCTGAAATACTGTATAGAGGGCAAAATCTATCCTTTTAAAAAATATATTTATATTTTTTAAAAACATTTTTAAAAAATGGCAAAAATATGTATTGTTAGAAAATATATTTACATATAATTTTAAACATATTTTAACAAATGGTTTTTTGGCTATTTTATGTATATTTTAAATGTATTTGAAAACATATTTTTTGATGTTTGCATTCACATTTTCTTCAATTAATGTAAACCTCATGAAAATTGTTGACATTCATTGTATCTTCTTTTTGTAATGTTTATCTTATTTGAATAAATATAACCTATATCTCAGAACTACAAAGCAAAATGGTTCATTTTACTGAAAATAATCATGCAATGATTAAAAATGTTTCAGAGTTCCTACATTTTTCCAAAGCAGACAGTTTCCTGATATTTTTGAACTTCACTGATTAGTTTAAGCATTTCTGTAATATGGCTAATTGAAACCATTCTCAACTAAACAGCACGCTCATTTTGTTGGATTTTTCAAATTAAACAAGAACAATAGATGGTTTGTTTCACAGAAATAACCTCCTAATTTTTGCAGGGCAATGTCCACCAACTCTCAGAGGCATAGCTGAGTTTGTGGGAGTGCAGGAGTTTTTTGGGATCTCGGTCGGTCGTCTGACATTTTCAGAATGCTTAGAAAAGACGTTGATCTATCCCAACCCACAGAACTGGCCTCAGATCAGATCAGAGGAATGTTTTGATGTTTGTAATGGACAAACAGCTGATAAAGTCTTACTTCAGTCTTCAGCACAGGCCTTTTCTCTGGATCAGCCTCCGGTTTTGTTTGATCGTTTATAATCTGTCCGTTAAATGGGGCAAGTCTGTCTCCAAAGTAGATGTAAGTGTCCCTAGAGACAGAAAACAACAGAATATGTGCATTATGGCACTTATGTTTACGCTGTAATATGCTGAGAGCTGTGTGTATGTGCGGTGTATGTTTACACACATGCATTTTTCATGGGAACATGTGAATAGGACATTTGTTAGAGGGTTCAACAGTAAGGATAGACAGATGGACAAGGGTCAGTGTGAGCACTTATATAAATTATATAAGTGATACATATAGTTTTTTTATTATTATAAATATTTTACTACTAATAATAATAATATGCATTATTATTATTATCATTTTTAATAGTATTATTATAAGAGTTGATTAACATTTTATTATTTTTAATTAAATAAATTGTATTTATAATAGTATTATTATAATTGTTTTTATTTCATGTATATGATTTTATTTAGTTACACCATACACCTCATTTATTATTATTATTATTATTATTATTATTATTATTATTATTGTTGTTAAGTTAATTAACAAAATAATTACTTTAATTACAATGTATTATTATTATTATTATTATTATTATTATTATTACTTAATGTAAAGAATTTTATTTAGTTACACCATACAGTTCATTTGTTATTAACATTGTTATTATTATTATTATTATTAAATTAATAAACATTTTAATTTGTTTTAATTAATTACAGTTAATAAAAAATACTGTTTCACTTCTTTCATTTAATTTAAATAATTTAATTTTGTTAATTTTATTTTAGTTCCTCAATATACTTCATGTATTATTCTTATTCTTATTCTTTTATTATTGATTTAATTAACATTTTAATCACATTTAAATATTAAATTTTATTAATAAATATTAATTTATTATTTATTATTTTTATGTAATTTAGAGAGTTCCTCTATGTACTGAGGAGATTGCTTCATAAGCTTCGATTACAGCATGAACCATTATTTAACATTTCATAATAATAGTTATCGTTTGTAAATTTTTCTTTAAGGATTTACTTTGAAACAATTTTCACTCATAAATAATTACACATAAACTGCAAGTAACACGTTGAATTAAAGATGAAATAAACACTGAAATATGAATTCTTGTAAAACTCGTTATCTTTTTTTTTTTTTACAGTGTATCAACTATAAAAAATTGCTTCAGTGAAATAGTAAAAATTGCTTCAGTGAAAGATCCTTATTGTTGAACCCTGTGTTTGGACAACATATAAAGCAGTCAAAATGAGCTGATTATCACCTGTGTAAGTCTTGTCCAACAGACGCACCATTGTTGCTGGACTGAAGTTTGTTATCACCCGCTTGCAGACCCTCCTCCCGCGAGGCGACACACATTCTCCAGAAACTGCTTTCCTGTTCCAGAGGAGCCATCAGATCAGTCAGACAAAGGCACTACTATTCCTCCATATAAAAAGAGCTGTTAACAACCAAAAAAATCTACGGTTTGACAGCTGAGGTAAATGTGACCATAATAGCTGTGTTTTATTAGACCATGAACCACATCAGTGACCTTTACAGGCCCCGCTATAAAGAGCTGCAATGTTTCACAGAATGAACTAGATGGGAGTTAAAGAGAGCAGGAGAGAGCAGGGTAACTTCATATGTGAAGGGCTAAGGAAACAAAAATCATCATGATCAAAACTGTTAAAATCTTCAGTCCCGCTTTTGCTTGAAATACCATAGCATACTACTCATACTATTTCTGCAGCATGCAGTATGCTTGCTGTGCACAGTATGCGAATGTTCTGTTTGCATGAAATATTCAGATGATCAATTGTGAAACACTGTATCCCACAATGCAGTATGGTTGACTTGACCTTTCATTGTCAGTCTTATAAATAAATCATTTGGCTGTGATTTTTACATCTCCTTCTTGATGTTTTTTCACCTTAATGGCAAAGACAAAAAAAGATTTTATATATATATATATATATATATATATATATATATATACACACACACACACACACACACAGGTACATCTCAAAACATTAGAATATCGTGAAAAAGTTCATTTTTTTAACTTATTTCAAAAAGTGAAACTTTCATATATTCTAGATTCATTACATGTAAAGTAAAACATTTCAAAAGTTTGTTTTGTTTTTTGATGATTAGAGCTTACAGCTCATGAAAGTCAAAAATCCAGTATCTCAAAATATTAGAATATTTACATTTGAGTTTCATTAAATGACCATCCCTACAGTATAAATCGGGGTATCTCTTGTTTTTTGAAACCACAATAATAGGGGAAGACTGCTGACTTGGCAATGGTCCAGAAGACAATCATTGACACCCTCCACAAAGAGGGTAAGTCACAGAAGGTCATTACTGAAAGGGGTGGCTGTTCACAGAGTGCTGTATCAAAGCATATTAAATGCAAAGTTGACTGGAAGGAAGAAATTGGGTAGGAAAAGGTGCACAAGCAACAGGGATGACCGCAAGCTTGAGAATGCTGTCAAGCAAAGCCGATTCAAACACTTGGGAGAGCTTCACAAGGAGTGGACTGAAGCTGGAGTCAGTGCATCAAGAGGCACCACGCTCAGACTTCTTCAGGAAAAGGAATACCAAGCATTTAAAAATATTATATATATATATATATATATATATATATACATAATGTAAGTGTTCAAACATCTATAGCTACCCAAAAGTATTCACATTTGGAAAATGAGTGATGGAAACTTAAATGCAGGTCTGACAGAAGTTCATTCTACCTGTGACACCACTTCTGTGATGTCATCAGATGCAACCAATAGGCAAGCCCAGCTGCTGTGATGTCATCAGGAACACATACCTTGATGGAGAAGGACCTCCTCATAGTTCTTTTGGGGTCCTCCTGGCCCCTCTGAGGCGCCTGGATGCTGACGCTCCTCGTCATGTATTTTTCTGAATTTCCCATGGACCCTTCCAGCGGGTCCCTGCGGTGTGTCTCCTCCAGCCCGCCATCCCAGGGCTCACGGTACCTCTCTTCTGGACTGGACGCGTCCTCATTGGTGCTGGAGCTGCAGATGATGAGCGACCGTGACAGGATGGCTAGTTTCTTGGAGCGCAGTCCCGCTTTGCCCCTCTCCATCCTCTTGGTTCTCCTCCTGTGATGCAGCTGCTGTTGGTGGGAGTTTCTCAGAGGCAGGATGGCCACAGAGGGAGGTTCTCTCCCAGGATGCATCACTGCTAATGGAGGGGGCCGCTCTGCAGGCGAGAGCAATTAGAAAATTCAGTTAGGAGTCCATTCTGCCATCCTCCCGTGGCCTAAGTGTTCTCAGAAATCACAGAGGCTACAGACGCAGATAAGAGCGCTTTCTTCTCTGATCCATGATGGAGGAAAAAAGAGAAAGTATTGCCCCATGACTGTGAGAGAGTTTGTGTGTGTGTGTGTGTGTGTGTGTGTGTGTATTCAAAAGGAGGGAAATACACAAGTGAAATGGACTGCACAGCCACAGACATAAAAAAATAAAATAAAAATAATACAGTAAAATAAAATCAAAATTGAAATAGAAATAAAATAGAATAGAATAAAATATAAAATAAAATAAAAACAAATCTGTCCTTATTTACTCACCCTCATGCTGTTTTAATTCCAAATGGTAAAAAGTTGTATATAAAACAAAAATTATTTCAGTACATTTTACAAGAAAATACACTGTAAAAATTATTTTTCAAAGTTGTAAATAAAGATGACTGAAGTACTGAAGTTTAAACGAAAATACTATTTTTGTCTTTCTAACAATTTCACATTTTATTCAGTGTTGCTTGCCATTTCTTCATAATTGTTTGTGAAATTTACTATCAGTTTCTGAGTGAAAACTGTTTATACACCACATTTTTTTCAGTGTACTTCAAAATGTTGTATTTAATTCAGTGTTACTTGCCTTTCCTTTGTATTCATTTGTGAAATTTACTAGCAATTTCTGAGTGAAAATTGTTTCAAAGTAATGCTACACCATTTGCTTGTTTTTTTTCAGTGCATAATATGCTGGGGGGGGTTTCAATTAAGCACAGAAGAATGCATCATGCAGCCCTTTTTCAGACAAACAATCGTTCAAAGTGACAAAGTCTTCAAAAAGGACAAAAAAGCACCATGAAGTCCCATAAAATTTGAGCTCTTTTAATCCTTTTTTGGAGTTTGACAGATACAGTCACTTTAACCTGTTGTAATAAAACATAAAGATACTTCCAAATCTTCCTTTTGAAGGAAAAAATAACATCATACAAGTTTGGACTGACATGAGGGTTAGTTAACAAAGACAGAAATTTTATTTTTGGTTGAAATGTCCCTTTAAGAGATTTTGAAAATTTTGATCTTGGCTCTTCATTTATATGAAAGACTGTCAAGTTACTTTTTCTAATTAGAAAACCCGGTCTGATGCAAATCTATCAACAGAAATATATTATCTGTACAATACTGAGGAGTCTAAACCTAATGGTTTTGTTGTTTTCTTACCTCACAGGCATGACGGGATCCGTCATGCATTATAAATGACCGGCTGCACATACATTACCAGTCACGTGAGATGAGCTCATATTCACGCTGACATGTGGGAATATACTGTGACTGCTTGCGTCTAAATCGTGATGTACTTTGGTGAGAATGATGTCATAGTCACCTGCTGGTGATAGCAAGCATTACTGCACCACAAAGAGAAAATCGCATGTGCAACGTTCCCTTTCAGGAACTCGAGCTGCATCGAAACGCTACGGGAACGCCTCCAGCGTGACCACGCTCTGAATCACATGTGTAATCAGTCCAATGGATAGGCGAGACGTCACGGGCGGGGTGACTTAGCGACCAGGAAGCATAAAAGCACGTGCGGTGAAACCGGCATCAGCTTTCTGTCAATCAGCAAGCGCTCTTGTGTGTGTCAGTCTTATTTGGTGTTGTCTGCGGACCGTCATTCTCGCTGGATAGTCTCTGTCTAAAACATCCTGACGCCTAAGGCCTATAGGACTTCTGAGGGCCAGCTCCCTCTGGGGAAGAGCGGT